CTCGCTTGTTAGCGTCACGCGCATGTACTCGTCCGACTTTTTGAATTTCGCGAAAAATATCATCACTTGCTTCCCCAGTTGAGTTTTCGTGCCACGATCAGCACAAGTTTCTGACATAACAATCCGAGATTGTTGTGTGTTACCAAAAAAAAAAAAAAAAAAAAAAAAAGAACTGTACGAGCAAAGCGCAATACAAGACTTTTTCAGCAGATTTAAAAAACGGATAAAATTATTTTTTTTGTTTGGGACCGCTCGGTTGGCAATTATAAAAGAAACTTTATCTAGCTTTTTTTTTGTCGTTTTTTTTTTTTTATTGAAAAACATCTCTTCTTCCACAGAAGATTGTTTTTGATGTCGAGTTATCTCACGCAGAGAGATAAAAGTATTTTAAAATGTCACGCTCGTAATTGCACTTTCACGTCGTAGCTAATAATCATTTAAAATTGTAACGTTAATTATTTTTATCATTGCAGAGAACAACTAAATAAATAAATAATACGCAACGACGCATTCTTTGTTTTCCCACGTTAGATCCGACCTTATGTAAAAGTATATTTCAGTTCACATTTTACGTTATTTTACTAATTAGTACATAATCTCTCTGCCGCGTGCGGAGTGCATTTTCAATTCCAGTATTATCATATACCTTCGGATTAAAATCCTCCGGACTTATGGTTTGCGCTTTTGCAAAAAAAACTTTGCTGTTTCCGACTTTACGCTTCTGCTCTGTTGGGGCGGTAGTTGCTTTCTAACAATAGCTACTACTTCCTCTCCAAGGCTAACGAGCGGCTTTTACAAATCTCTTAAGGGATTTTAATTTTAAAGTTCGTAGTTCCGTTCTTTCGCTCACTCTCGATATACAACGAAAGCGAGGCAAAGGTTACTAAATGCTATTATCGCACACAATACGAGTGATAATCATCAACTACAAAAGAAATTTATAGACACATGTTTTGAGCAAGACATACAAAGAGATGACTCTTTTTTTTTTAAGGGAAAGGAGGAAATTTTATCATATTGTTTATAAATCTATTATATCTTGTGTACTCTCGAGTTCTCGATTTTTTTTCAATTAACGTAATATCTGTTAAGAAAACAAAACTTAGTTTTTTATTTCAATATTACAATGTAACGGGATAAATAATTCTCGGTTGTGTAACTTTTGTGTTTTATTTATATCATTTGAAGCTTATTTGAAACAAAAAACCTTTTGATGTTTACGTACGTTTGTAATTATATTTCCGGTAATCAAAGTCGCATTCGTTTTGTTATCTTTCATGTTTATTTTTAACTTCGTGTTGTAAGAGTACGTGTTTGTTGTTATTTTTTTCAAATACGCGCGTTTCTCTTTTTCTTACCTTATTTTTCTGAGTGAAACCTTCGTCCTCTTGTATTTTCAATCACTGACACAATAGTATTGAAGAGAAATCAAGTGAATAATGCGTACTTCGTTCTTTCGACAAGGACAAAAACTCGCTCGACACTCACGCTACGAAAGGCAGCATGCTACTGGCCGAATCGCCCCCGTTTCGCTCGCAAGACACCCCCATTATTAGGTCGACGGCAGCGCAGCCACGTGGAGGGTTGGACCACTAGTACAGCCGCTTTCGTTTATGTAGTTGACGTGTATTCGGAGTTGGCGATTTAGAAAATCGAACTTCAAATTGCGACCAAATGTCAATCCTGTTTTTTTCTCGTTGCTCGTTCGACCGCGTCTCTTAATTGTGACGCGAAACGCAGATTGCTGCAATTAGTTGTCGAAATCGAAAAGTTTGCTCTCCTTCTTGCGATTTAATTAACATGCCGATAATCTTCTGCTATTTGAAATTTCTCGAGAGAAATTATTTTGCATTTAAAGTTTGTTTTTCATGTCACGTCACGAAAATTTCTCGTCTCGTAAATTTTCTTCGTTATTTCACAATATATTGATCGAAACGTATTTACAACACTTGAAAGATATCGTTGCTTTGCGACAAAACCTCCGATAAAACTGCAGGATTTTTACCTGGGGGAAAAAAAAATGATACATTGTCGATGCGAGCGTGTGTTTTTGCATAGATCTGTTATATCCGCGCGATTTAACTCGCGCGCATTTCGTACCATGCACTTTTTTTTTAAGCTGTCGCTTCGTGAATTCGCGCATTTCACACGGGATGAAAGCACAACGATTCCACACAAAATATACACACACGTACGCTGAAAAATCAACTACAAAAAAATTGGTTTTGTAATTATTTTACAAAATAATGCAGGATATACGCTCGACCAACGCAAACTGGAACTCAACTTTTCGGAATAAAAAGTTTTTGATATCAAAAACAAAATGATGATAAAAAACAAATGAAAAATAAATTTATAGAAAAGTAAATTTATAAAAATAAATGTATAAAAAACTAGCACAACACAAGCGCGCGCTACGCGCACGCTAGTATATATATATATATATATATATATCGTAATTACGTGACCAATGTCAGTGACCTCACCGTAGTTACGTGATCGAGGTCAGTGACCTCACCGTAGTCATGTGTGATGAGTCTCCACGAAAATCTTGTCACTTCTCAATTGCATGAATTTCGCGTACAAGAGACACTACCGTGCGTCTTAATATGTACGACGTATATCGAGAAACACATTCTAGAAACGTCCAATCAGCGTCGAGATAAAAGTGGTGACAATCAATATCGAGAGAATTGATGTGATTATTTACACACGCTTTTTCTGATAGGATTCTCGTGCGCATTGTGTGAACGTGGCGCACCTGCTGTGCGAATTAAACTCGTTCGTTTTGAAATATTTTCGCGATAAAGGACGGTAAAAATACAGCGGTAAGTTTTTCTTCTATCACACGTCGTCTTCGTCGTCGTCGTTTTGTGAATTCGCTCTCTTGCAAAGCTTTGAGAATGAAAGCTATTACGAAAAGTAACTCGCAATCTTCCGATGATCGAGCTGCGCGCAAGTTTTATATGACGATGTTCAACGAGCAAAGCAGAACTGCAGAAATTGGGTCGAGCACGACAAACTTTTGAGACACTTTTTGCACACATAAGTTAATGAAAATGAGATATGAAACGGTTGAAGTAACTAATTGGACAAACAATTCTCTAATTACTTCAGAAATTTCGCCGGCGAGAAGAACCAAGAGTAATAAGTGCGGACGAAATCTGCGAGAGAATTTATTGTAATATTTGCTAGGTCACGTGTCTCTGGAGTTTTGTCAAAATTTCATTTCGCTCCAACTTCCGCGAGTTCTCTAATTAGATATACGTCATTTAGATCTCATCTTTTCCCCGCGATTCGGGAAGGTGCAGATTTCTTTTAGGCCACAGTTAGTTTATTTACAGGAAAAATTAACGAAGAGCTAAAAAGATAATACCCAAAAGATTTTTTCTAACAAAAGTTTTGCAATAAAACATTTTGTAAACGTTTGCAAAAATTTTCAATATCATACAAGGCACTTGCTGTATCGATTGGTTTTGTCAGAATCGCTCTAGTCGAATTTGCCGAATTATTTGATTCCACATCAATATAAAGCTATAAGCAATAAGGCTCAATTACGAGCGAATAAAATAGATGTAAAATAGATATATTAGAAATTCAATAGTAAATTTGATACATATCAGGTGCGAAACGTTTCGACGAATGTCATCTTCAGTCGCAGTGTAAAAAAAATATAAAAATAAAGTTACAAAACCATAATTGTCGCACAATAGTAATTTGCGTGGGTGTCAGTCTTAGGCAGATGTTCATTTTTATCTCGTAAAAAATAAGTGGAGTTGAAACCATCTTTTTTGTCGTCACAATAACTTAAATTAAAAATTGAAAAGTGTTGTTAAATAATAATGCACACGCACACACAATCCACGATTACAAAATACAAATCAACAAACAAAAGCTTGATTCTATCATTAACAAGAAGAGTTATTTTGAAAAACTTTGTTATATTACGGCTTTTAATTTAACCAAAATATGATTCCTCCAAGAAGAACATTACCGCGCGATTTAGGTTATTAAAGCATTAGCGTGAGGAGGAAGACGAACTTATCCCCTTAAAATTACTTTAGCGCAATTTCGTGCCGTCGAAATAATTCGTCGTCGTGAAACCAAGTTTTATAAACGAGCAGCGGCGAACTTCGTATCAGAATAAATCCGATCTTCTCGAAACTGTTATGTTGGTATTTAAAGGATCAACATAATTGATCATGAAACAAAGTTAAATTACACCGGAAAGAAGAGCGGAATATTTACCGATCGCGGCGAATAACTTCAAAATATCTTGGAGTCGAGTGTTCGCGCGCAGCAGTTATATATCATCGCGAAATACGGCCGCGAGCTTGTGTATGTAGGTACAATTCTTGCAGGCTGGCGTAGATGATTTACAACCGAAACGTGCAGGTGCGCACGATGGCACAATGTTGTTGATGTTTTTTTTTTTTGCAATATTGTGAGAGAGTTCAGTTCTTACGTTAGACCGAATTATTTTTGTTTGTTTTTTTTTTACGCGAATTCTGCAGATCGTTAATTTCGAAAATAATTCTCACACAATAATCGATTTGAAGTACATCTTTGCCTTGGCGCTTTTACAACTTGCGCAATTAAGATATTAAATTTTTCCAGAATTTATTTATGGAAAAAAAAACATTTAATTTCTGCGAAACATTTAAGCGAGGAGTAGGATTTCATTCGCTTCGTGCGTCTTTGTGTTTCGTTGAGTCGATTCGCACATCTCGTGCATTCGAAAAAAAAAATTAATACAGATCGTGTGTAAATTCCAACTTTTCTCGTTTTACATTTTCTGTTGATTTCCCACGGCAATCACTGATACGTGCAAAATGGGTACATACGCGCGCACATTCTTAAATCTTTGCGACATTTCGCGATCGGAAAAGCCGAGATATGTAGATTCTTCGCGAATGGCGCATATAAAGAGGGTTACGTAGGTTTAAGGCGAAAATATTCGAGGAGAAATTTGCTTCGGAGAAATTTTCAACGAGAGAGAGAAATTCTGAGATTTACACTCTTGTTTAATGCAAGAGAATTCACAATACGTGGTGATGCGACGTTTACGTATCGATTATTTTACATTTAAAGGTTGTTATTAAATTCGTTCTCTCCTCCGTGTAAAAAATGATTGAAAAACCACAATTTATATACGCGCGTTTTAATTCAGTTAACCGCAACGTTCACTCGCCCACACGAGAGTTAGAGTTTTGTGGTAACTTGAATTTCGGAACTGTGTTCATTACCATTAACGTATTAAATGAGGCAGTCGCCGCAACAAAGAGGGTCGCTCGACTTCGCGTAACGATTTAAAGGCAGCTCGTGTACCACGAACGGCACACAAAATGGATATTCCGCAGACCTACTTCGCCCGGAGCGCTTGTGTAAACTTCGTTCGCATTAAATATGCTGTCAACATTTGCTCCGACAAAAAAAAACTACATAAATAACGCAAATAATGACAATGTGGTACACGCGGATAATCTTTATTTGAAGTCGCTCTGCTCGTAAACTCTCTTTTATTTTCTAGTAGTCTTCGCCGGAACAGAATTTAAATGTTTTGGGAACTGAAACAGAAATGAGAGACGCAACGTCACGTCAAGTCACAAACTCGACGACAAACACTCGCGAAAATTTTTCTACTTACTCTTTAGAGATCGAAACTTGTTCGGGTTCTTGCAATACGCCGGTATTTGCGCGGTGCCGTGCAGAATCAGTGTAAATGGTCCAATTATGCCAGTATTCTGCTCCGGGCCTACCTGAAAGCGCCGCAAATCTATGCACGATCAAATATATGCACGCGCGTGACCGTTCTGACTGATACGTAGCTCGCGCGATTGTTGATACGCGCAAACGGGGTAATTTGAATCGCGAACGATATTTCACGTCAGTTCGTTTGAATGAAACGCATGTTGCGTGTATTGCGACGTTAATTAAGATGATGACAATTTGTTTATTACGTAATAAAAAACGGAGATTGTAACGCGCGTAAAAACTCTTTCCAGGAAAAGTAGCTTCGAAAACTCGCGCAACGTGTTTATTTACATGCAGATCATGAAAATATGTAAATTTATTCATATACGTTGTTTGTATCAGATGTTTAAAATCCATGAACTAAAAGCTAAGCTAAGGTTCACTGGAAAGAGGTTGAATTCCCGCGCACACATTCACGTGTCTAAAATCCTCTTGGATTTACATATCCTTTTATTTTCATTATCGCGTTATACGATTTTTTATGGCGGAGATAAAATTTTGTTGGAAATGTTATAAAAGATTTATACCCTCTGTAAAACCAAGACAAACTCCCGTAAAAAATTAAAACACATATCATCCACTGTTTTTAATCTGTGGTGACGCATAGCTTTTTGCCATTTTGTTGCAACTGATTGAGAAAAAAATACGAGAAGATTACGTGAAGTGGGTGAAAAGTTTTTTTTTTTTTTTACACATGTTACTACGTAGCGAATTGAGAGAATTTATGATAAAAAATGTTCTCAAAATCTCTCACTGTGTCAGATATCCACAAAGTCCACCTTCCGTAAGGATCTTCGCCCCAAGTCGCGACGGACATGAATTTCCACTTCTTAAAACCTTCGGTCGAATTATCGTCCCTTCTTGAGTTCAGAATCTGGACTTCGGTCCCTGAAAAAATAAAGCGCACGCAAGATTATCTCCCTTGCATTAGCGAAATTATACACTTTATACTCGCAAAGTACACACACACACACGCGCGCGGGCGTAAATGCGATTTTCAGAAAATCGTAACACGTATTAATTTCGCAACATACTGTTTCTCCTCGGATCGTCCAGAGGAAAGATTGCGTTATGACGAGTTGTGTTAATGTCGAAGAGTGTGTTAAATTTTTACTCGAAAGCTAAACGTGCGTGCGTATGTGTTACACATGACCAAACAAGTAAACGTTATCGGTTACGCACAACGTGCAAATGTTTAATTGTGACTGCGTGCTAGCGTTATTGATTTTTTCTTCCAAGCACGCATAGCGCAATTTTGAATAATATTACGGCACGGCCTACTTTTCAATATAACAAACGGAGTTCGTGTGAAAAATAAATTGTCTCTCAGATTAACTTTTCTAACGAGTTGTTTTCGTAACACGACAAGCTTCAATTGTAAACATTTGATAAGAAACATAACTGGAATCACAATATACTTGCCGCGTGTAAAAAAAACTGCGTAAAATATTAAACATTGGTCACAACGACAGTCGAGAAAATTAAATGGTCGACGAATATCACGTCCGAAAAACTGACTTGAAAAAAACTCGGTAATTAAACTCTCGTTCGAAACTACACATCTGTATATAGTGCGTGTATGTACTTGTATATATGTATATATATATGTATATATATATGTATATATATGTATATTTCTCTCTGTTTCTATATTTATAAACATTGTAAGCGTAATATCGATTTTACTCTGGAACGAAAAATGTGTTTTCACTGAAACATGTTTCCAATAACATCTGTGAGTGGTGAAAGCATGAATGAGTAAATCCCAAAGCGCCAATATTTTTTGGATGCTTTTATTCATCACGTCTCCTCTCTCGCGCTTCAATACATTTCGGAGTTCTTCCGATATTACGATGCGAGTAGCGTCTTCTCTCAATAATAATAGCGCGAATCGGCAAACGTGCGCGGAATTAAAAAAAAAACAAAAAATAAAACCGTGACGATTCGCCGTTGGTGTGTTCGCTATCGTTAGAAAGCGCCCACCCGTTCCTAGCGTTTTCTCTTTTTAGCTTATACATTTATTAAAAGCGGAACGCGATTTTTATCGAACAAATAAATTCCCATCAAATCCCGTTATTCCTCTCGGAATAAACATGCCAATTTCGAAGCAGCACCAAATTCAATTTCAAGATATAAATTGACGTACAAAGCATTATCTGCGCGCAGATAAACAAGATTTGCCACACGACACAGAGAAATTCTTCGAGAGTTACAAGTTTAATGATTATTAATTCTATCGGATTTTGTCATTCATTAATTTTCAATTTTTCTTAACTCTAATTCTATAAACCATGACATTTATCATTCATGTTTTTGTTTTTTAAATTAACAAGATATTTAAAATATCATGTGAACAAAAAAAGAATAAAGTATTCTTGATCATTAATGTATAAAAACCCAAGAATGCAATTCTATTTCTTTCTATCTCATTTTATTCCTTTTATTCTCATTGTCCGCGTTATCTCTCTCTCTCTCTTTCTCTCTCTCTCCTTTAGAAATTCGAAATGAGATAGCAAATCGATCTCGACAATAAATTTGGCCGACAAGCGGATCTTCGTGAATGCGGTTAAATGCACTTGCATTTAGTTTCCTCGAGTATTTCCGGAAATTGTAGTATTAGTGTATGTATATGTATATATATATATATACATATACATACACATACACAATTACAGAACATTTTCGTAGGACAGCATTTTCGAGGATCTCTCAAATTTTCGAGCTAAGACACGCAAAATGGCCCATCATCTCTTCATGATTATCTCTCTCGTCATTATTTCCGCGCAAGCTGATAATCACGTGAATGAAGATTGACGATCTTTTTCCACAAATGCATTCAAACGAGGCGTAACTAAGCGAACGTTATTACTTTGCTCGATAAACTTATGCGCGATACACGTTGTGTACTTTCGCCGCATAAAGATTTGGAGAGAAAACTTCTATTTTCCGACTTCTTCTCGTATACCAGAATTTACTCATTGACTAATGCGCGCATACGGAAAGAAAACTTCGAACGCGTTGATAAATATGGATAGAGAGAAAAAAAGAGAGAGAGAGAGAGAGAGAGAGAAAGAGAGAGAGAGAGAGTGTCAAAAATTTATACCTGAAGGCGAGGTCAGATTTATCTCCAACGCGCCGCGACGCGAGTACTTGATATTCGTTTCGATCTCCACGTGCTCCAGAAACATTATTTCACTCCCCGGTGTTCGACACACGGCATTGAATAACAGTCCTATTGTTTTCTTGTAAACCAGTCTGATGTTCCCGCTGTAACAAAAAATTTGCGCGTAATAATCGCATATTTATGGGATAAATGACTTTTAAAACACATACACATTTTCACAATCTTTGTCCGAATATATACAAGATGTTCGAACCTTGCGCGAGGCTGTTTTTAATAACCCAAATAAGAGAAGAGATTAATTAAGCTGCCTTTCACGAGTGTCCCATTACTCACAGTGGGATTATAGGAATAACTCTGCGGACCGCGCAAAGTATAACAACGCGGGATACGAGACCGCAAAAGGGAGAGAGAGAGAGAGAGAGAGAGCGGGGAATTTTCAAAAGCACCTGAATTATGAGGGGACTCATTATTTCGTAACGAGATTACCGGGGCGTTTTCAGCGCCCCGCGTTAGAAACCATTGTTCGGGATGGTCGCGCGTTTAAATTGGCGCTCGATTCTGTAATAACAAGGCAATTCCATTTGTCTTCGGATCTAATAGTTCGTTTGAGAAAACGTGCTTTTTAAAAGAAAAGACACAATGTTCCTCTCTCTCTCTCTCTCTCTCAATGTCTTCGTTCGGAGCAGAAAAACAAATCGACAGCTTTTCAACGACGCGTGTCTCTCATCTCGCGCCTCTCCCGAAAACGCCACCCGGAAAAAAGGAGGTCGCCGCGACGTTCGATTGATACAACGTCCAGAAATTTTAGAACCAGGTTAAGTGGTGAGGTTGCGAGTCTTCTCTGATATTTATGGATCACGTGAGAATAAAATGTAACGACCCGGCATCCGATGTATGTACGTGGCGAGATATCACTTCGTAATTACGTACTGACACTCGCGGCTGTGATACTCTCTCGCAAAAAAAGAAAATCTACGCGGCTTTAGAGTGACAGAAATAAAAAAAAATAAAAAAAAAAAAAATTTTAATTGCAACGGAATTTGGCGAATCGCGCATGTGTCTCTTAAAGCGAAGAGCGAAGAAAAACAAAGACATTTGATCAATTTTGTTCGTGTGCTTTCCGCTTGGTACAGGACATCGCGCGACATGCAATTACCGCAATCTAAATACACTAGACTAATTTACTCACTTGTTGTGCACTTTGCAAACGGTCTTCTCCGGCACAGTGACCCAGTCTCGACTCGCCTTCACCAGCGCGTAGGCATTCATAAGTCCAAAACCGAAGTTTCTGTGATAAAGAAATCCAGCCGCGTTCAGTATCCACGTCCCCCTAAAAATAAAATATTGATATTTGCGATTACCTCGCAAAGCTCATCTCTCGGAAGGAAATTCACGCCGAGCGTGAATTGTGTAAAAACAATCAAAGAAAAACGCGACGAGTGTCAAGGAAAAAAAAAAAGGAAAATTTGTTCTTTTCTTCTTCTCTTCTCGAAGTTTTTTTCAATTTTCTCTTCTCGCGAAAATTTTTTTATTATTTTAAAAGAATGAAGAATAAATTATGATTTATTGGAATTGCGTTTTAAATAAAAATGTACGTCGAGAATATTATTCGTTAATTTACGTCCGCAAAATCGAGTTTCTCCCCGCGCGTTAACTGTCAAATCTCGTTCTGACATTTGTACGCGGGAACTATAATACCGGTTACAATTAACATTCTCGTTAAGGCAAATGCAATACGCGACCGCGGAAGCGGTCGTAATCGCTTTTATAATTCACGAGGCGAGAATAGAAAGCAATTAGCGCGAGATATAAATTACGGGAACGAGCAATAACGGACTGAAATATGCGAGTGACCATCTGTGGCACACGCATCGCGTCGCGGAAGGTTTGTGATCGCGAGCGGCGATTTTTTTTTCCCACACACACACACACACACACACAGATGCGTGCGTGACCCGCTTTCGTTGACAACTATTCGATGGGGGTCACATGTCAACGTTTGCGAAACATTCGGTTTGAAACGGTTTACGCACAAATCGATAAGAAAAATTGGAATTTCGCTCTGCGAAGACTTTTAAATCGTCACGCAACATTTTTGTTTCTTAACTTCGTGACCTTGCGCGTGTATTCGTGTTCTTGTTGTGTATATTTTTAACGACCGGGAATTATTTTCATCAAAAGGTCGAGAAAAGCTCGTTTCATCTGAATTACAGTTTTACTTGGAAATACATTCTCCGCCGAAGCGCGAGTAAGAATGACACGGCGCGTTTCGAGAACTGATACCGTGTTGCGCGTGACCTGAATTGCTATTTGCGAAATGCTCACCTAGAAGAAATGCCAAAGTATTCCGACGTCAAGGCTATGAGATGCTGAACGTCTCTCCACGTTAAGTTACCGCTGGAATAAAGTCATTGATTTGTAAATAAATGCGTTGCGAAAATAACATTTTTCAATTTTGGAACGCAGATTAATTGACGTGGCAAATTAAAACTCGATAAGCCCTCGATAATTCCTGAACGACAGACAAGTGTCGAACGTTGCATATTTTATATGCGATCGCACATATGTAACACAAGCGTGGGGAAAAAAAAAAAAAAAGAATAATCGAACGTATTTCGGTTTCAGAGATTATTGATTTCGAGAACACAGGTAGGTGTAAATTTTACGCGCAAAATGTGTCTCCAAAACAACTCGAAAAATACACATGTATATACATTCATAATAACTCGAAAGATGTAAAGTGAGATGCAAAAGTTTCAACTAATCTTGGCGAGAAAGATAAAGTTTTTTATGATAAAAAATTTAACTCAAGTTATCTGTAGAGAACTTTTCCAAATAGTTTTAATTTTCTATGGTAAAAGTTGAGACTTGTTTGCTCGAACGCGACGTTGCGTAAACTTCATTACCACGTAAACATATTTTAATGTTTTATTCGCTTTTGTTTTTATCATTATATATATATACATGTGCATATTATATCTCTGTTAGTTTTAAATTATATGTTATGTTTATTAAAGTTCTCTAGAGTTTTCAACTAATTTTTGAGAAAGTTCGGAGTTGAAAGCGAGACTAATAGAAATGTATTGCGATAAGGGCTCGAGTAAAAGACAAAAAAAAAAGAAAAACTAAATAAAGAGAAAGCCTAGGGAACTGGGGTGACAGTAATCAAGTTAACATTTCGAGGTTTCGAGGAGAAAGTTTCGACGGGATGAGATTTTGTTCTGTAAGTGTGTTCCGCGTACTTTGCTTGCAGCGCGAGTGCCAGTATCCCGGCCGCTAATGGAGCAGAAGCTGAAGTACCCGAGTGCTTGATCGTGCAGGTGTTGTTCAAGTCCGTTGTTACCTGTGGAGCAAAAGCTATTAAATTATTCGGTGCTTTTTCTTTGTAAAATAGTTTCTCGCGCGCGCGCATCGTTCGATTTCTAAGCGAGAGATATACGCGAATAAATGGCCATCGATAATATCAGAGAGTAATTTCGTTTATTAAGAAAAAAAAAATTTAACCGACTTGCACGTTGGATTTTTCTTTTCACTTCCGATATTCACGCGGAAAAAATTGTAATTACTTACTATCGGATTGTCCCGAACGGTGTTGTCCCAAGCGATTTTGCCCGTGCCACTGTAAGTTGTGGCAAACATGGCAGAGCATCCCTCGCCATAATAAGGAGATAGTCCGGTTAGAGTGGCCGATGCGATAGCCACGGTGTATATACTTCCCACGTATCCGTCGCATCCGCAATCGTCTTCGGGACCACCGTTTCCAGAAGCCCACACGTAAATGCTACCCTTACCGTTACGACCCTGTTAAATATTCAAGAGCATCCGCAAACGCTGCTTCAAACGGTGCTAAACGGTGGAAAATGATAAATTCCACTAAAAGTTCTCACAATTTGTACAATACGTCATAATTACACACTGGCGTTTGTGTAAAAATGTATGCAAGTCGCTCGATGTGACGAGTTAAAAAAAAAAAAAAAAAAAGAAAAAAAAACGGAGAGAGAGGCGAGTTTACGTTACATTATTCAAATATCTCTGCGATATTTTAGAAACGCTGCGACATTTTTAGAAAAATCGACTGTCATTTCGCGTAAGAAAAGACGTTGCTGTTGCGCAAAAGATGCGCTGCTGGATCGTGTATAAATATGCAAGCACATCCACCAACTTTCCTCTCTCTCTCTCTCTCGGCCTGATGGAGAGAGCGTTAGAGACTCCTCGTTCATATTTAATCTCCGAAAGAAATGAGAAAAGAACGATCCGTAAACGCGGCGGCTCTTTGAAACCGGAACTAACGTTTGCGCGAGGATAATACTTAAACCCACCACGCCCCCGAGTCTCATATCGCCACCCTTCGGTATTACACACGAAATAGACTTACTGAGATAACAAAGTCCTTAATAGGAGTCGGAACACACAAAGGCCGGCACACGGCACGCCCGGGTCTCATATCGCAATCACGAGAGATTAGATCGAATCTTACGCCTGACACGCCTTCTTAACCCTCTTTAATTTTGATCACGAATTTCCAACGGTAATGTCAATCTCGAACGATCCGTGACTTTAACAGGACGGAATTATCGCGAGTTAGAATTTTTGATTTTTCACAAACATATTTTTTCCGTGTTTTGTAAAAAGTTGTCACGGAAAAATAAAGCGCGAACTCAAACTTTTTAATAAGCAGAAAAGTAAAAAAAAAAGTAGTTTAGGAAGTTTTACTCTCAGAGAAAAAAAAAACAAAAATCAATAAAAAGCCGATGATGGCGAAAAATATTTTCGCTGGCGGATCGCTGTGACGCATTAATTGTCAATGACGCAAATTTAATTACAACTTCTAATAAAGATACATAATTATTTCAAGATAACGAGAGAGAGAGAAAACCGAACCAACCTCCTTTATGCCACGCTCGAGGGACCTGGTGGCAAGTATACCGGGTCCAGCCAAATTTTTTCCATTGTCCTGAGGACCCCAGGAAGACGTGTAGATGTCAACGAGCTCGAGCTTGTATCCGAGAGCCTCGGCTTCCATGCGATCGGTAATCATTGAGGATCCTCGTTCATCGAGGAGCTTGATGCCGCCAATAGACGCGTCGTAGGCAATACCGACGCCGCATTTCCGGTTGTTGGCCTCCATTGCGATCTCGCCGGCACACCTGGTGCCGTGGCTGTTCTCCCCTAAGGGGCAGTTGAATTTATAATGCGATCGTGAAACAGTAATGTTCAATCGGCCAAGTCCTCTCTCTCCCTCTCTCTCCCTCAGCACTCCAGGGAGAGAAGTTGAACTCAGCGGACAACATCCGCGTGGGAGAGTTCTCTACTTCATTTCGCAATATTGCGTATTACTTGACTTTGAAATTCAAAGCACAACGCGCTTGTAATCCCACTCGGGTATAATATCCGTTGATAAAAATTCAAGAGCGCGGTTCTCCCCGCGATTGAATAACATAGTCATGTAAGAAGAAACGGAAATGTCTTCCACACGCCCGGATATTCGCGCGTTAAGGGAAAATCGGAATTGAAAGATTAAAATTGCGAAAAGGAGTTTTTCCACATTTCTTTATACGCGCATTCTTCGTAAAACTTTTTCAATGTTTTTTTTTCCTGTAAAAAATTCAAACTCGTCAATCAAAAAGAAACTCTAAAGTTAGGCAACAAATATAACTGTGACGTCGAGTACGCTTTAGTTAGACATAATTAGCTTTACATCCGCGTAACTATATTTGACCAGTAATTATATCATGAACGTGTGAATGAGTCGATTTGACGATAAACCCGCTGGCTACGATCCGATTTCACGCGAATTACGTTAATATCGCTGCATTACAACAATTTTATTAACGATTATCGGTAATTAAATGATTTATCGATATTTTATCGGCAATTAAATTAATTTATTATTAGACTTTGACCGAGCTCTCACACGCCATCGCAATGTTGTTTGATTGATCGAAACTTGCACGTTTGCAAATTTGTTTATATACATGTATACATACAGAAAAAAAACAGTAGAGAAATTACCTTTATAGCTTGGCGAAGGATCGTTGTCACGGTCGCTTATGTCGTAACTAATGCTCGGATCCTAAATTCAAACATTTTTGTTATAACAAACAATAAAGTACAATTCAAACAATGTATTTTATTTATTAGAAGCCGTTTTTTTTATTTATTGAAAAATGTGAATTTTAAAAAATATAAAAGTTTTTCTTACGTACTTTTTTTAAAATTGTGAAACGTTTTTGTGCGATAAAAAATACTACGTACTGATTTACACGTGCAAGTATTTTCAAATTTTTAAATCGTACGTGTATTATATATATAAATGTGAGAGATCAAAAATTAATGCACTTCGATATATAAAATGAAACATCTCGAGCTACATGTTTCGTCATCTGTGAGACGGGAGAGAAGCTCGAAGCACAAATGTTACATACGTAATTGTTCCGCAGATCATCGTGGGTATGTTCCAAACCGTCGTCGACAACAGCAATTCTTACCCCACGGCCGGTTATCCCCAGTCGATAGAGAGACAGAACGTTTAAATCGATCTCCGGCAAAGCCGTAGTGAGCGAACCGTAATTCGTCTTTTCTTTTACCGGTGGCAGCTGATAAAGCAAATTCGTCAATATTTTAAATGTAGCAACAATAGTTACAGTGACGTATTTAAAAATGTTATAAAATTTCACTACAAAAATCAATCTCAAGTTTATTTTCGACTCGATTGATAAATTTGTTTTAATCTCAAAAAACAATTTTATCTGACGAGTTTATCGGAATATAACAAGAGATTTTTGTTTACTAAACAATTGCAAAACAAAATGTGCAAAGATTACATTACCATATACCACTGGTGATCCCAAAGCTCGTCGTTGAACATCCTTTTATGTCCTATGCAATTTTCCTCTTTGCCGTCAACGGCATTTGATGCAAATTTGCATGTATTTAAGTACTCAAAAGAACGCTTTTCTCTCGTTAATGGTTTTTCAAACTCTAAGTCGGCTAACGAGATGTAATCGCGTTTATATCGTTTCACAATTTTCTGTTGATCCATCCTTCGGATGATCTTTCCTCGGCAAAAATGCGAATTGTTCAAATGTACGTCTTTTTCGCACAATTTCACGTGAACATACGTCGCGTGTGCGTACGTATTTTGTCGTTGAAAAAATTATGTCGTTACGCACGCACATTGATTTTAAATAAAAGTTTTTTAAAACTGACAAGAATATTAAAAATTTTGAAATTCTCTTAGAACTGAACTATTTAAAATTATAGGAGTGTAAAAAGAGAGAGTATAAAAGTGTTACCTTGAAATTTGCATTAAGAGCCTTCGTTAAGCCAGAAGTTCCTCTTTTCTTCTGGCTCGGATTATCATCCTTGAGCCATATATATGTGTCCTTGAATCCGAGAACCTGAATGAGGGGGGGATCCATTACATGTAAATTTATCAAGAGAGCCAGTGATATGCGTTGCATATTTAATGAACTTAAAAGACCGAATTAAGTCTTTATTTAAATTTTTGCTTAAAGAAGTGTTAAAGCACAGTCTTCTTCTTCTTCTTCCATCCGCGCGTTCTATAATATTATCACTTTGCAGTTTCATCCAGCCTTAAAGAACCACCGTTTATTTAATGTACATTGCCATCGTAGTTTTTTAATAGAAAGTTCTTCGTGTTATATACGCGATTTTAAATAATTTGAATTAAAAAAAAAAACAATATGCAAAGAGCAATAATTAATTCGATTGACAAGTTAAATTGAAATCGTGTTTTTTTTTTCTGTCTGTCTGGACGTTGGAAAACATTGCATTTCTATTTCACGTACATCAACCAACCCCTCCGATTCTGACGATCAGAATAAGGGTGCGAAACTAGACGGTCGTCCCGACGTTTGCGCCCTTCGGCAGGGACGCTACGATCAGGACATCATACGAGAGCAGTTGGTAGATCGAGCGCACCGTTTTGGGGGAGAAAGCTCTATCGAAAGTCCAAATGCGGATATTGTTACGGTGATCATTATTACCCACGATATCGTATACGTGGCCGGTTTTGGCTTCGTATAACATCCGTACGCGCGCATGATGTAAACGATATGACAAATATAGAGCGCGGAAGAATAATAGAGGGTGATCACCTGGTTAGGTAAATTGAAGCGTTGTTTGCACAAAAGAGAGAAGTTTATTTCCGTGATATCACACACGTGTCCATCTATTTTCGAGATACCTGAGCAACCGATCTTTACCGATGATTAGTGACATTTTTCTCTGTCGTTCTAATTTGCAACTTATTTTTAATTATGATATTCTTCAATTAGTAAAAAAACAATTTGTCATTTGTCGCGCAGTAGATTTAACAGAGCAAATTAATGTGTCTTGAAATATTTGTCAATCATTGTTTTCCACCCTCAAGGATTAAAATGTTTTTCAAATTTATTCCGTAACAGATGTGTCTTGTTAATTTCGTTATTAATTGTTTTCTCGAATGTGTGTTGTGCTTGTGATTTTACACAGTACGAATTACGATATTAAATGAGATCGAACTTGAAGGCAGGCTCCAAAGAAATTCAGGGCAACGGGATTATAAAACAATAATCCTTTCGTCTGTGCGCTATCCTCTTAGCCCTCCCTCCCTCCCTCCCGTGCAAACCCGTGCGCAAAAATCCTCTAATCCACTATCCATCATATCTGTTGTGCATCCGGCTGGAACGAATAAATTTGATCGTCAAAATGCTTCGCTAAACTCGCTGATAAACTACTACTGTACATATCCCGGCGGGATACACTTTTCAAAACAGCGGCGCATGAATGTTGCACGTTTTGCATATATCCACGATCGCGTATGCCGTGCACGCCGCGTTAAACATTTAGGATGTTACGTATTGCGATTCGCGGATCGATGGAGGATCATCTTCCTGTTTTTTTTTCTTTCCAAACTCTATACACAAACACGGGCGTTGTGCGCACATCGACACCTCGCGCAGCGAGGAGAAACTTAACTTTTCCGATTCCGCAAAACGATCTGCGCGCATTGTTGCGCTTCGACATTAATTGCCAATTATCTCGCATATAAAGCACCGTCGACTTTCGCGCGAAGCATATCACAAATGAATTCGAAAAATGGTAACTTTCAGCAACAATTAATATAATAAAATTCAAAAAGAGTAACTTTTTGTATATGTGTGTGTGTGTGTGTGAGAAAGAGTGTTCGGTCGCGAAAAAAATTAATTCGAGAAATCTCGCGATTCAACATAAATTTCCGCAAACTTCTCCCGCCGCGAGGATTCTCAAACAGGGACTTCCCCGATCGGCACGTGAACGATCCCCCCTTTTTAGTCGAGCGACGACTTCAAGGTCGTCGGCTTTTAACGGGGGGAATTGGCTTCGGACTGGATAGAGCACGTGCTTCCCGAGTGTCACGCGGGTGCTTCTCTTAAATTCCACGTGGGAACGCTTCAAACTCGAATTCGTCGACTACGTGATAATGGCTCTCACCTCTCGGTTTCCCGTCGTAATCGGGAACACAGCACGGTGGTCTGCGAAGTACGTACCTGCGCTTCCAAAGGGACGCACGAACGTGCGAAGAGAGCAGGGAACGAAAATCGGAGACGCGATCATTAGTTCGCGATCGGCGAGCGGCGAATATTACGGTTATAATCGAACGTTATCGCGATACCACGATCGTTAATTCGACGCTCAAAAAACTAAGTATTCGTAATTTTCCAACATCTCTCTCTCTCTCTCGAATATGTTAGCAGTTTTTTTTGTACATGTGATATGAAGAAATTACATCCTCTGTTATATTCATCCTGATTGAAATTTCTCGTTCAACCGCACAGCCAACTTGACTGTGTCTCGCCTAACAATTTCTCGGCACGAACTCGGAGAAGCATTAACGCTGCTCTTGCCGCGCTCGTCTTGTACATTTCCTGCTCAATCGTCTCAAGTTCGCGAAGTGCGACGTTAACGGAGTCTGACGCGTCGTCACCGTCGACCTTCCGCTTCGCGTTTCTCGCGTCTAAAAGGAAGGGGAAACAGAATAGAGGCGAGAAATCAGAGCCGGTCATTACTTCGCGATCAGTCGGGCGATCCGTCTTATCGATATTCAGATTGCGTTTCTCTCCGACTGCTAGAAGGAACGTGCTCGGTACGTATAGATACATGAAAATCTGCGGTCCAAGTCGTCTGTAACACCTTCCGGGCAAATGGTATGGGACATGGGTGAGAGAAATGGAAAGACGAACGGGAGTGAAAGAGAAAGAGAGAGAGAGAGAGAGAGAGGAGGGGGGAGAATAGAGGGACGAAGTATTTTCGCAGTCCATTTGTTTTGATCGGATTTCCAACTGTCTCTCGTAATCCCGCACCCGTAAGCTCCCGCAGGCGTCGTCAGTTTCCAATGAAAACCCTAACGTCTCTATCCCCTTCTCGCTACCCTGGACCTGCAGCAACCCTCGTCGTCGTTTTCCCGACCACACCTTCGGTCTCCGTCTCTCCGGATTCCTGCGAGCATTCCCCGCGTTCTACGTGTATTCTTCGCGCGTGGATGTGTGCACGCGCGTGCACGTACATTTGCGTGTAAAGAGGGTGCGTTCTCCCTCCCGACTTTACGAGGACTAGCCGAACTCTCTCTCTCTCTCTCGGCAGTTCTCGGGTGTATTGTGGAATCAATCTTTTTTCGAACAAAAATTCTTAACAAATCGAAAAAAAACGTAAAATACACATCGTGCAATCAGAGACATTAGGAAACTTTTTTATTTATTTAATATATCAGATAAAACTTTTGTACTCTGAAAAAAATTTTTAATTTGACGCGCACTTGTCACAAGATCACCGAATATATAGAATTCAGAAGTCAGAAGTTGTGAAAAAGACGGCGTCCAATCATCGAACTTCACCTGAAGAAAAATCGATTCCGAGTTCGCTAAAGTATTACATCCGCAGACGGTGAAGTTCGGAGAAAGTGTGCGAATTCCAAGTGTTCGAATCCATTATATCGCTACGGAGTTGAGTGAGACACGTATTGTTTCAACTCACGCGAGAGAAGATTCTGCTAATGAATCTCAAATATAAGTAAAATATTTAAGTTTTTTTTTTTTTATTATAAAACAAATTGAAACAACCGTGATGTCAATTTTTTACCGGGATTACATAACTTTGCCATGATATCGGATCGGTTGCTGCAATCATTAAAAAATGAACTGCACACCAACGGAAGTCCACGTCAAGTCTTCGGCAGGTTTGCAGCGCATATTTCGTCTTATGTCAGTCGCGTGAATATTGAAGTATATCGCATGCATGATGATTACATAGGTAGTACGTGGCACACGTGTATTTACTGTTCGCGTCGCACAGGTGGAAGATACATAACCGTGTAGTCAGCGTGTTTTAGCTTGCTCGAAAGCAAGCGGGGCGTGGATGCGCTGGAAATGCGCCACGTTTTTTTTTTTTTTTTTTGGACTGTCAAACGATTTTTCCCCGTTCATACGCCCGCGTGTATACAAATCGGGCGTTTCTCTCGCACGGAAAAAGCGGTTCGATCGCAGTTTCTTACTTCGACGGGATGATCTTGCAGGATTGGCGACTTTTTCCGCGCTTCATATTCAAAGATTTTATTAAACGTGCGCTCTCTGTCTTCTCTGTGTGTGAGAGACCGAAGAGAAATTCATTATTTCCTGTAGTTGCCAGGAGAAAAACATTCGCTCCGTTGCTCTTCTTCTCGAATATTGCGCGATAAAAATTTTACATATTTTATTTTATAATTTTTATGTAGAGATTTGTATTGTTCATGTACTTCGTCGCAACCATATTTGGTTTTAGACAATTTTAAATATATCGCAAAATTATTTTATTTTATCACATTTTTTTCCCTTTGATTATTCGCAAGTCACGGAAGCATAGCTGATCCATTTGAATTTTTTTGCTTTGCACAGTTACCTCTCGACAGTAAAGACGTTAGATTCTGACGTTAGACGTTAGAGTTTTTCTCTTGAAACAGCTGAATATTTTGTAAACGTCGGCTCATGACATCCTGGTATACGTGTTATTTCGGATTACGCGATGTCTGGCACTTGCGGACTGCAAATTCAATTACATGCATTGAATTCAGCAGAGGGTGGAAGTTCCCGACGCTTTGCGTGCACAAGTTCACGTGCAGGCTCCCCGAACTGGCAGAACTCACACTTTAGGCAAGCGCTTATACAGCCGCGGTGATATGTAGGAGTAAACACCTAAACTGACAATGATACCGTAAACTTAGTTTGCGCGCGTACAAACAGACAGACCGCATTGTTGCCTGTACGATATCGTCGGTGTAATTTAAGATTAATTTCACAAAAAAAAAAAAAAAAAAAAGAAAGAAAGAGAAATGCGCGAAAATAAACAACGTTCTTTCGAATTTTTCTGCGTGTGTCTCAAACTT